AGATCAGAGCCAAAATCCCCTCTTGATTCCTTTCAAGAACGAGAGGTCCACTTTCAGAATGGGCGACTAAAACTTTGAACAGTTAGGATTGTCCCAAATTCCCACCTGGTTAAACCTTCCTAAAGTTAGGACCAAAACCAATTTCCCTCGCCAACCTTTCTAATAAGATGGTGAGTCCCCAACACTATCAAGTTAACTGCCACCTCTAATAGTCATTCAACTGGACGATGGATCTTATAAAACTGTTAAGTTAACTATTAACTATGATAGTCTCCTCCAAATTTCCCCCGTCGATCCTCTCCAATAGGATAATGGGACCACTCCCACTGTCATGTTAACACTACACCTCTGATAAAATCAACTTACCAATCCTCTTCAATAGGATAGTAGGTCCTTAAAGTCACTCCAATCATGACAATCCAAACAACTTACCAATCCTCTTTAATAGGATGGTAGGTCCTCAAAGTCACTCCAATCGCGACAATCCAATCAACTTACCAATCCTCTTCAATAGGATGTTAGGTCCTCAAAGTCGTTCCGATTGTGACAATTCCTATCACGTTAACGATTACCTCTAATAGCCGACACTATCATTCCAGCAAATGTCATTGTCCCATTAGTCGTCACACTTATACGTCCCTGAATGACCTGATCCATTCCGAACATTTTGATATTTTCTTAGAACAATCGATGGGTAGTAGCCTACCATGCGATGGCTCCTATAACAATCATTCGTCACACTCATACTTCCCTAAACGATTTGATTCCCACAACATCGTCCTTCCCGCAAAAGTCGTTGTTGGTTGATAATGGCCTACCAAATGATGTGTATTTATCCAAATAGTAGCCTACTATGCGATATGCCGCTATTTTGGGTTTGTCTTTGCCCCAAGAGAAGACAAATCAGGGTTTGTCTTTGCCCCAAGAGAAGACAAATCAGGATTCATCTTTGTCCCAAGAGAAGACAAATCAGGGTTTATCTTTGCCCTGAGAGAAGACAAGCTTCTCCCCTTGACTCCAACAGGTATACGAGAATATACTGCTTCCTACCTTTGATGGGAAATTCCTAGAGGATATTACCCATAATATTCTTAAGGATAACCTGGCAAACTTCAATGGGTATACGAGTATAAATTGTTTCCTTTGATGGGAAATTCCTAGAGGATATTACCCATAATATTCTTTAACAGGAAGTTCCTGGAGAATATTTTTAAGAATAACCTGGCAACCTCCAACTGGTGCACGAGGCTAAACTGCTCCCTTTCCTCCAATTGGTGTACGAGGTAAAATTACTCCTTTCCTCCAACCGGTGCACGAGGTAAAACTGCTCCTTACCTCCAAGTGATATATGAGGCTAAACTGCTCCCTTTCCTCTAACCGGTACATGAAGTGAAACTGTTCTTTTCCTCCAACCGGTGCACGAGGTGAAACTACTCCCTTTGCTCCAACCAGTGCATGAGACTAAACTGCTCCTTACCTCTAGGTGCACGAGGTGAAACTGCTCTTTTCCTTTGACTGGTATACGAGGTTAAACTGTTCCCTATATCCAAACGCCTCAAATGGCTAAGGATAGAGGAGAAATCTTAGCATTAAGCCTAAGAGAAACTCCTCGACAACTTATCATGCTAAGGGCAAGAGCACGGCTAGTCCAACTCAAATGGTAGTTGGTAAAGACAAACCAAGTATGTTGACAGCTGAGGATTTGCTCAAAATCCTATATGGCGATCATCAGCTATGAGTGAAGAGGTCAACTTTGTAGGTCTTCATATCCAAAGTGTTCCAGACCGCATACGGCCTGATTCAGGTCTGAAAACTTTGGAGGGGGTTCTGTAGGCAATAAAAATTGCCTTTAATCCCTATCAAAGAAGTTCAGAATAAGACTGCTAAAACCTCGCCCGAAATAGCAAAAAAGGGAAAACACTAATATCTCTCAAACCAGAAGGAATTTGGTAAAATGGACCGAAGTAAGTCAAACACTTTGGGGTCGGTTTGGTCGATTTGTCGCGTCGAGAAAGTCGACTTTCATATATAATTCATCCAATTCTGACTTACGGTTTGAAAGCTATAGCCTATTCTTCGATGCATGTTCTGAAGCTCGCCAGAAAAGGGTGAAGTTCGCCTGTAAGGAAGTCCGTCTGCAAGTCTAGAGCTCGCCTGAACATTACAGCTTGCCGAACTAAGAGAAGCTCGTCTGCACAGCTTCGTCTACGAGGTTCACCCACATAACCTCGCTTGAGGGCCAAGCTCGCCTGAAGAGCAAGCTCATCTGTCAAAACTCGGAGCTTTCCTACATAGCTCAGCCTGCCTCACAGCTTGAAGGTCGCCTGCATGACCCAAGCTTGCCTACATAGCTCAGCCCGCCTAACAGCTTGAAGGTCGCCTGCATGACCCAAGCTTGCCTGAAGGACAAGCTAGCCTGATAGCATTGAAGCTCGCCTGAATGAGGTTCGCCTACACAGGCTCACCTGCACAGCTCACCTACATAGCCTCACTTGAAGACCTAGCTCGCCTGTATGATCCAGGCTCACCTAAAAGCCAAGCCGGCTCACCTGCATGCCAAAGCCCGCCAAGCTCGGCCGCACGAGCAAGCTCTCCTGTAATGTCAAGCTCCCCTGTAATGTCAAGCTCGCCTGCACAGCTGGACCAAGTTAGCCACTTGAGCTTAAAATATGGGAGTGGGTACATCTACTCCCTATGATCTAAGGTATGGAGTATGGTTCTCCTCACCTCTAATGGTCACATCCCAAGATTTATGGGATGGACTTATGGTCCCCCTCAACTACAATCCCACAATTTGAGGGAGTGGCCATGCTACTCCTCCACTATAAATAGCCAATGATGGTTATCAAAAGAGAGGTCTTGGACTCTTGTTCAAGACCAAACCCATTTGACTCCGTGGTAATCAATTCTCTTAATCTCTAAGAGAATCGAGCCTGTCTCTTTGCAAACTCCTTGGCAATCAGCTTGTTCGTGATCTCGTTCGAATCCTCAACTGAAGCGGACCGAACTTTGACATCTCGACGTACATAGGCTCCGAGAATCAAGCAATTGCTCGGCCATTGAACGCATCCAACCGAGCTTCTACTATGTACTGAAGCTCCAACGGCAACTTTGATCGGATCGTCCAAGGGAAGCAAACTCAGCGCGAGCACCAAGGAGGGCGTCCTACAACTGCTAACGAATCGACGTTAAACAAGAAGGGCCATTCCCTTCTCCTCTGTTGTAATCTTTGATTTTCTTTTGATTTGTAACACACAATTCAATTAATACAAATCTCCATTGAGAGAACTAAATTTTTGCACCAACAGCATTATAATACAATTTGTCGTTTATTCTACACATGAGGTGATCGTGAACATGAGATATAGATCCGCACATCGAGATACATGCATGAACACATAATTTATGTTCTTAGTTGAGAGTATATGCATAGTTGAGATGCATGACATTTGTTTAAGTTGATGGTGTTAGAATAACACACGCATAATACATAATTCATCAGTGGTGGATGCTAAGTGATGAGTAGTTTTCCCGCAATGAGACCACCGCTGTACAACACATAGAGTTGGCCGTTTTCCCGTAATGAGACCGCGGTTGTACCATACACAAAGATGAACAGTGTTTTCAGATTAGGCTGATATGCCTATACTCCATTGTACGATCATCTTGATGCATCATTCTGGAATAGGGTGATTTACCTATCTTCGCAGAACGATTGAGTAAGGATGTTGTTTCCACACAATACTGTGAGTACCTTATAAGAGTATCATTATTTCATATATGTATATGTATATACATATATATATATATATATATATATATATATACATATCTATATACATATCTATATACATATATGTATATATATGTTTATATATATGTATATACATATCTATATACATATCTATATATA